TTATGGAGGCCAGACGGTATTTAGAAACTTTACAGCAAATCAAAGTAAAGCGACAGTAGAAAAATTTAGGTGAGAAACAAGACACACTTAAAGATTTATTCATCTTGTATTATTACTGCATTCAGTATACAGTTCTTATTACTACAGCTGGAACCATTGGTTGTTTTCTGGCTGAAGAAATAAGGGTAAATATTTTATATTTTGTAAAATGTTTATCTAAATTAAGATAATTTTATCATTCTTAGTCACTTTTTTCAGATACACTTATTTCATAGCATAGAGACATGATTTAGAACAGAAATCAGCAATTAAAGCAGTATAAAGTATTTGTCATGATGATGGCATATTGAAATAAACAATAAAAACATTTTATTCTATACATACTGCAAAAAGTACATATCATACTAGAAACATGCTCATTAGCAATGCAAAACTAAGCTGTTTCTTCTGGAGGCATAGAGTTAGGTTAATCTAATGGTGTCATCATAAATGGATTGGTTCCATTACACACACACAAAAAAACAACAAAAAAAAAAACAGGAATCAGCCCGGATTATATTGTGAAAAGATAAAACGACAAAGTGGAACAGCAAATAATTTAGCGAACTTTCCCAGCATGGACCTCTTAGAGCAGCACTTGAAGCTGACTCGTGGAGGACTCATCTTGCTTGCTCTTCTGCTTGGCTGCGATTACTTTCCGGCTGGCGTGCAAGGTGTGGGGAAGGACACGGCTGTTCGGCTCCTGAGAGTATGGTACCAGAAGGGGGTGAAGGACCCAGTACGGAGGTAAAAAAGTTTTTTCTGTCTCTTTCAGTCTGTTGGGTCTCTCTATCTGACTCTGTGCCATGCTACCTCACTGCCTCTCTGCCTCCTTCCCTCTCTCTTTCTCTCCCTCCTTCACTCTTTTTCTCCCTCCTTCTCTCTCTCTCCTTCCTTCTCTCTCTCTCCTTCCTTCTCTCTCTCTCCTTCCTTCTCTCTCTCTCCTTCCTTCTCTTTCTCCTTCCTTCTCTTTCTCCTTCCTTCCTTCTCTCTCTCTCTCCTTCCTTCTCTCTCTCTCCTTCCTTCTCTCTCTCTCCTTCCTTCACTCTTTCTCCCTCCTTCACTCTTTCTCCCTCCTTCACTCTTTCTCCTGCTCTCTCTCTCCTCTCTCTCTCTCTCTCTCTCTCTCTCTCTCTCTCCTCTCTCTCTCTCTCTCTCTCTCTCTCTCTCTCTCTCTCTCTCTCTCTCTCTCTCTCTCCTCTCCTTTCCTTTCCTTTCCTTTCCTTTCCTTTCCTTTCCTTTCCTCTGCTCTCCTCTCCTTTCTCCTTTCTCCTTTCTCATCTCTCCTCTCTCCTCTCTCCTCTCTCCCCTCTCCCCTCACCCCTCTCCCTTCCTCCCTTCCTCCCTCTTTCCTACCCTTCCCCTTCCTCTTCGTTCCCTCGCCCTCGCCCTCGCCCTTTCCCTTTCCCTTTCCCTTTCCCTTTCCCTTTCCCTATTCTTCTCCCTCTCTCCCTCCCCCTTCCTTTTCCCCCATCCCCCCTCTCCCTCTCCCTCTCCTGCTTCCTCTCCTTCTCCCTTTCCCTTTCCCTTTCCCTCTTCTTTTCTCTCTCCCCCCCCCCTTCCTTTTCCCCCACCCCCTCCCTCTCCCTCTATCTCTCCCTTTCCCTTTCCCATTCCTTGTCCTTTTCCTTCTTCTTCTTCCTCTCCCTCTCCCTCTCCCTCTCCCTCTCCTGCTTCCTCTCCCTCTCCCTTTCCCTTTCCCTTTCCCTTTTCCTTTCCCTTTCCTTCTTCTTCTCCCTCTCCCTCTCCCTCTCCCTTTCCCTTTCCCTTTCCTTCTTCTTCTCCCTCTCCCCCTCCCCCTCCCCCTTCCTTTTACCTCATTCCCTCTCCCTCTCCCTCTCCCTCTCCTGCATCCTCTCCCTCCCTCCCTAGTCAAGGCATGAATAAGAGCTAATCATTTTTACAAATCATATAGCCATTGTGTTGAACAATTTTAGTGTAGGTAAAGGAGCTATATAAGGACCTTGTTCAATTTGTAATTAACTGTCATACTTTGCAACTGATTGTACATTACTACTTATATACATAACAACACTATTTCTGAATGTCCCTGCATGTTTGGGGTCCTTTAAATGTAAAGCAGTCAATTTACATGAAAGAGATTTGCATTTTAGTTGTATTAATGAAAATATAGCTACACTATCTATTTATTTTGTTATTTTTTATTTTCAACTTTAACAGAATGCAGTCCTGGGCTGAAAGTTATGGACAGTCTTCGCAGCACTCTAATCTAAATGCAAGAAAGTGGAAAAATGGGTGAGGTTATTATATATATACAGTATATGTGTGTGTGTGTGTGTGTGTGTGTGTGTGTGTGTGTGTGTGTGTGTGTGTGTGTGTGTGTGTGTGTGTGTGTGTGTGTGTGTGTGTGCATAAAAAGCCCAAGAACAAAACAACCTGAAGTGTTATCACAAAGCTGCAAACTTCCAGGAACGATGACGAGTTAGAAGTCGGAGTGCGGGATAGGATGCTGGCAACGGACGGCTTCCCCTTCACTGACATTGTCCAGGAATTCCGACGCAGACTGGATCCACCCTCGCTCAAGGTCAAATGGGGTCGTCCTCGGTTCTCAGACCTCGTCGTACGTGCATTCAGTTAAGCAGTCCTCCTCTTTTGTTGAATCGAAAAGTCATTAAACTTTCCTCTGCTCTATGGAACTTTCTGTTTAATTTTTGATAGGAAAGGGAAGAAATTATTTATGTTAGAATGTTATAATCTCACCTATGTATCGTCTCTTTTCCAATACTTGACAGAGATGGTGCATCATCAAGCTAGAATGGGAAGGGAATTATGCCGTTGAGAAGATATCGCCAGTTGTGACTCGATGGATGGTTACTTGCGGCTGGTATGGGGGACGGATCTCCTACCCAGACCTAGGCCTCATGGTAATTTGAATTGTGTTTTGTTCATTATTATGGGTATTTTGTTACATATACAGGTGTAGAAAGACAAAGAAAGATGATAAGAAATTTATGATTTAACTCAAAACAAACGGGCATGGCATGTATGTACTTGCCATGCCCACTGTGACCTTACTGTATTAACTGTTTTTACACATAGATGGCTCCACCTGTACTAAGTCACCCAAATTTTTTTAATGAACGCAGCATTTTCCTGGCAACATTAGATTAACCAAGAACTGCAGCATACATCCATACTTGTATTCTCTAATGACTGTAATATATTGCTTGTGTTGCAGTGAGTTCATTTTAGTTATTTAAATTATATGACCAGATTTCATAATTACATAATTCTGGGGTTAAAGAGAACTTCATGATTGCAGTGATATCTTGAAACTGTAGTTATCTAAGATGGTAGTGTTCTCTGATTAAACCAATTGGTACAGATGGCATGAGTACATGCCATGCCTACTGTAATATAAGTTTATTTATTGTCTTTACACATAGTTGGCTCTACAAGTGCTTAATCACCAAGGGGTCAGTTATTAGTCCTACCTATCTCACCTGTTTACCCTTTTCCATGACTTTTGGAAAGGGTCTTTTCTATTATTTCATTGGCTTAAATGTTACCAAGATTATGAATAACAATTTAATAATCATAACATCATTAATAATAATAACAGTATCAATATCAATTGTACTAAAAAGTAAAACACATTTTCCTGCCAATTCAAGGAATGGGGACCAGGATTAGTTACTAGGGCCTACTGATAGACTCCTTGCCAGCTGAGCACGTATGGAGCCATCTCTATGTACGAAAATTCACAAACTACTACAGGGGACAGAACATAAATCTTTGTCTTTGGTTGTTGGGTTAATGTGTTATTTTTCTGAGCCTGAATGCTTTTTAAGAATTGTAAATTGCAAGTCTGATTTGTAATTTCAGTATTCAGACTTTTATTTGTTTTATTCTCTAACTATGTCTTAGAATTTGGATAAATCTTTTTTGCTCTTTTGTTTCAGTTCATTTTATTTTGAATCATATTTTATTCAGTATTCAATGCAATAACTCACAGCCACTCGGCATTGTGAAGCGGTGCGTCCGTCGAGGAGTGTCTGCTTGTCAAGTGAGATGGAAAGTATTGAGCCCAAACCTACCTGAGAATTCTCCCGTTGAGCTCACCACAGACGAGCCTCTTCACCTGCTGCAGGCTTCATTACCAGCCCTTCTTGAGGAATTTGAGGAGGCTAAGGCTACTAAGAAAGGTCTTTTATTTACAGGTTTCCCATTCTTCTTGTATATATTTTAGTGTTAATATATTTTCTTTGTCTATGAAAACATGAGTTTACACTTTACCATTCTTTTCAATCTTACTTTTGTCCTTCTCCCTTCTTTCCTCATTCTTTCATTAATCATTTTTTATCTTCCCTTTGTTCTCCTTTCTCTTTTTCCATATTTTTTTTCTTTTTTTTTTACTCCTCTTTATATTGTATTTTCACTATCAAGCTCCTTCTTTTTTATAGGTAAAGGAAGCAAAAAATCAAAAAAGAATGAGGAGAAGAAAACAAAGGCTAAAGGCATCAGTAAGGAGAAGAAGACACAAGTCAGTAAGAAGAAAGAGGAAGAGGAAGACATCACACAGGAAGAGGAAGAAGAAAACACAGACGAAGACCTTTCACTCATCATAGATCGCCTTGTCAGTATTGACTTGACAGGAAGGAATAAGAACAGTAAGTGTAAGTCAGTCCCAGTTTCAGACAACAGAGACAAGAGTTACAAAGACACTTTTTCTAAGATGGGGACCTTGAAGGAATTTACTTTGACTGTAGATCAAGAAGGAAAGCATGTAAATAACGTGGATGAAGATAAGAAATGTGCAGATGAGATGGAACATGGCAAGAGAAAGCAGACACTTGTGAAAGGTAGATGGCACCTTGATGCTTCGACAGACAGCAGTGATGAAAACGACAAAGAGAACCAGCCACTGAGTCTGATGGATCGCATATCGAGGAGAATTGGCAAGAAGGATATCAGAACAAAATTAAAAGCATGCAAAGGACCATTTGGAGCACTTCATAGAAAAAACAGCAACACTGAAACAGATAGTGACAGTGAGAAGGAAAGTGAGGAAAGAACAGAAAAATGTAGAGATACTGTTAGTGCAGATTTTACAAAGAGTATTGGCAGTTCTGAAGTAAAATCTGTATTGTGTAATTTGACTAGTAATTATCAAAGTGAAATTCCAAGTGATAATATAGACTTCAAGGATAAAATCCCAGAGGATAGTTTGAATTTTGACAAGGAAGTGTTAGAGTATATTCAGAACTTTGAGGATGAAATACCTGAAAATTGTTTTGACTTTGATGATAAAGGTACACAAAATAGTTTAAACTTTGAAGATAAACTTCCAAGTAATAGTGGTAAATTTAATGAGAAAGTTCAGGAGGATAGCTTAGACTATGAAGCACCAATGGATAATGAAGACTTTGATGGTACAGTTCCAGAAGATTTTAAATTAGATTATTCTGAAAATATAACTGCCGATTGCCTTGTGCTTGATAAAATTCCTGAAAATGTGCAAGGCATCAAGGAAAGTAAAGCCAGTGAAATAAACCATGAATCACAAGTGACAAATCAATTAGCACAAGAAAACAAGAAGGAAAATGATGAGTCACAAAGGTGTTTGATGACAATGCCAAAAGAGGAGCCACATTTTACACTTGTTGACTTTAGCCTCGTATCAGAAACTTCTGCATGTAAGAATCAGATTTCCAGAGATATGTTTGATGATACAGGTGAAGTTCAGGGAATATCTCATTCAACACTACCAGATCTCAATTCTACTCCTGTCTTGGTAAATAGTAAAGGAATTCTACGAGGGCAAGGTGATAGTAAGGCTCAAGATGAGTCTGCATCCTGTAGTTTACCAGGACGCAAGCCATTAGAGAATGTTTATACCCCAAGTCCAACCACCTGGAAAACTCCTGCAGGGAAATCTGAAGGATCTTTTGATTGTACAGTGTCTCCTTTGGAACCCTTGTCAGCAAAGTCTCTTCATCGTTTGCAAGATTCTCACAGTAAAGAACGGAGGTTTATTCACTTGCCTCGCACTGGTTGCAACTCGACTCCCTTAGTCAACACTCCAAAGGGTAGAAGTAAAGATGGCTCCTATGGGCTGTGCTTCAAACTCCTTGACACTTTCAGCTGTTCAGACACTGGTGAGTCATTCAGTCAAAGTGCAGTTGAAGAAATTGCTGCCTACTCTGAGGTTAGCAAAGTGATGGAAAATTCTCCAAATCTGCTACAAGACAGTCTCAGAGATATCAGTCAGACAGAGAGTTTGATTACTGCAAAAAAATGTATGAATGATATATCTATCCTTAATGAAGAAGACCATGACAAACCATTTGCTCAAAGGATGGACAAAAATCCCTATTATGATGATAAAACAGATGGAATAACATCACATGGAGATTCTAAAAAAGAAAAGGAAAACCAACAGTTAGAGACCACAAAAGGTTGTGAAAGTGAAAAGCAATTAAATAAAGGAAAAGTAAGCCATCAATTACAGGTTAAGAAGGAACTTGCTGATACCACATTTTCACCTGTAATCACTGGCTTATCATTAGCAGAGAGGATAAAAATGAAGTGTAGAGATAGAGCAATCAGTAAGCTTATTGATGACCTGTGATATGTCCCTTTTAATAGTTATAAATGACAAGCATGTCAATTTGTCTTGCTTGGACTGTGATTTTAGAATACATTCAACATAAATGAAACTTTTTTAATGCATTATATGAATTATACTGTATTTCAGTTTTATATAAGTCATGTGGTTTATTAGTTTGCTGTAAATTGTAATGTAAATCTATTTATAATTATATCCACTGTCTATGGATACTGGCATGGAACGATTTGATTATGATAATGTAGAGATCTCATTAGCAATAAAGAAATATTTTTGAATTTGACATTTATTGGCCAACTACAAACTCAAAAAACTGTTTTGTTAATCTGTACGTGAGTGTGTGAGTGAGTGAGTGTGTGTGTGTGTGTGTGTGTGTGTGTGTGTGTGTGTGTGTGTGTGTGTGTGTGTGTGTGTGTGTGTGTGTGTGTGTGTGTGTGTGTGTGTGTGTGTGTGTGTGTGTGTGTGTGTGTGTGTGTGTGTGTGTGTGTGTGTGTGTGTGTGTGTGTGTGTCTGTCTGTATGTATGTGCCTGTGTCTATCTGTCTGTCTGCCTGTCATATCAAGAGGGTTGGGTAATTGTCTTGTGGATGTCTGCTTTGATTTGTTCAAACTTTGCGAGATAATAAGTCTCATGAAAGAATAGCTTTGGTCAACCTTAACGATTCACTTCCTTAAAGTTAAAATAAATACTAGTCGGCCAAATTACTTGGAAGGGGTAATCTTTCCGAGGGTTTTGAGCACAGTGGAAGTAAGCTAAATTATTGAGGATGTGGAAAAAATAAAGCACAGTGGACGTGCTTTGCGTGACCAGGAAAGGCGGGGTTGTGAACAAAACCGATTTATTTTTTACCTGTAATTTATTTAAACCCTCTA